ATCCGTCACCTCATACGTCTATCTTCCTTCCCTTCCCTCCTTCCTTCCTTCCTTCCATCCTTCCTTTCTTCCTTCCTCTCTTTTTCTTTCTTTCTTCTTTCGTCAGACATTCAAATACCACTACCCTACCCTATTTCAACCTACAACAGTGTTAAGTATAGTCACCATGTTTTACATTATATCCTTGGACCTTATTCATAGGAATAAGCCAAAAGTTTGCACCCCACCCCACAGCTCTTGACAACCACTTTTTTACTCTGTTTCTGTGAGTTTTACTTTTTATTTTTTTAGATTCTACATATAAGTGATACCACACAGTATTTGTTATTTTTCTGTCTGCCTTATTTCACTTAGCATATTGCCCTCAAATTTCATCCATGTTGTTGCAAATGGCAGGATTTCCTTCTTTCTTTTGGCTGAATAATAGTCCACTGTATATGCATAACACCTCTTCTTTATCCATTCATCCATTGGTGGACACTTTTTCCATATTGTGGCTATTCTGAATAATGCTGCAATGAACATAGGAGTGCAGATATCCCTCTGAGATCTTGTTTTCATTTCCTTTGGATATATACCCAGAAGTGGGATTGCTGGATTATATGGTGATTCCATTTTTAGTTTTTTGATGAACCTCTATACTGTTTTCTATAGTGGCCACAGGAGTTCACGTTCCCACCAACAGTGCACAGGGGTTCCCCTTCCTCCACATCCTTGCCAACACTTGTTATCTCTCGGCACTTCGGTGCTGCTCTTTCTCTATCATCATCTCTCTCTAAACTACAGGATTTGGCTGGAGGAGTGAAAGAAGAGAGCTAGGCTGTGTCAGGTGAGGATTGAATAGCCCTAATAATTGGCTTTGCCATCCAATTCCACCCAGTATCGAATGGAAGAGTAACCAAGGAGAACAAACTTTTGTTTATGTTTGATCTGGACACCAGATATTCTAAAATTGATATCCCCTAACTTGGCAGAATTAATGCCCCTAGACCATGATATTAGGAGCTATGCTTATTACTGTTAATATGGTTCTTTGAATTCTTGGAGAACATTTAACAGTGTTTTCTTACAGAATTTGGTTTTCAACAATAAGGATTTTCACCCCCAAACTAAACACCTAATTAAAAAACAAGATTTAATTTGTTCAAGGACATTTTTCCTTTGAATTTTTCCCTTTAGAGAATTACACATTATATAAGATGAATGAAAAACAATGATCTTAGACCTTTCATTAAAAGCAAACTGATTTTCCAATTCCTTTCATTGAAGATGCCTGGAGGTTTAGAAATTGAGCCAGTATAAAAATCTGGGATATCTCTTTGAATGATACTAGTATTTGTGAGGAAGGGGAAAATCTAGCAACTTGATTTATCCTTTCATATGTAAAGAATGATTTTCAGATATCTGGAACTCGTTTCTTATGGAAATAATATGAGTGATGATGACTAGTGTCTCAGTCACCCTACTAGAAGCTGACAAATATATTTGTCCATGTACTGCTGGTGTCCCTTTAGGGTAATCCATTCTTTTTGTTCCTTTTCTTCTTAAAAAATATTTTAACTACTTTTGGACTCATGCGGGATTTACAGGCTAAGTACCTACCCACTACTTTTATTGGGGACACAAAGTAGGGAGCTCTGCTAATGTTTGGGTCATGGCCTATAATAAGAAGAGAACTTGGCAAGTCATGGAAAACATCAATTTTTAGGTATATGCAGCACTCGAATATGGCTACTCTAATCAGTTTCTGGAATCTGAGGGCCTATTGACTATCTACCATCTTCAAAACCAACGCGTAATCAGCACCATCAGCAGCAGCAGCAAAGGCAAAATTACCATCATTATCATCTATATCAGAAATTTGCAGCTTTATTAACAAGAATTTTAGGACTGATAAATTTTAGTTCCAAACCCTTATTTTCTTTCCACCAAAAATGAAATTAATGTCCACAAATAGCCAAAGCAATCCTGAGAAAGAAGAACAAAGCTGAAGGTATCACACTTCCTGGCTTCAAACTATATTACTAAGCTATATAATCAAAACAGTCTGGAATTGGCATAAAAATAGACACACAGACCAATGGAACAGAATCAAGAGCCCAGAAATAAATCCTCATATTTACAGTGAACCAACATGTGACAAGGAGTCAAGATACTCAGTGAGGAAAGGACAACTTCTTCAATAAATGGCGTTGGGAAAACTTGATAAACACATGCAAAAGAATAAAACTGGACCCCTATCTCATACTCCTCACAAAAGTTAACTCAAAATGGATTAAAGACTTAAACATAAGACCCCAAACTGTAAAGCTCTTAGAAGAAAACATAGGCAAACACTCCTTAACATTGGTCTTGGCAACACTTTTTAATGTGACACCAAAAGCAAGTAATACTTTCATGTTATCTCTAATAAAGAACACTTTTGTAAAGTAAAAGGTTATCCTTTAATTTTTCTTTTACACGAAGCTGAATTTTTATACACTGAGTTCTAGAAAGACCATAGAATCATTGTTCAAAGGCCTTGCTTGCTCTCTTCTCCCAAACTCAGAACTCAATCTTCATTGCCTAAAATGTACCCAAATTACCTTACTTTTCCCCACTGAAAACTTATCCCTCCTTCTCTGTTCCCCATCCCCATCAGTGGTATCACAGCCTACCTTTACCTAGCTTACTCTAGCAGAGGTATCTTCTATACTTTTCTCTCTCTTGTCCTCAAAGTCTGATTAATCAAATAATCCAGTTAGGTTTACACTCTCTGCCTTCAAAGTGTTGCCATAGTAAGTTTCTCGATGGGCAGAAATGACCATGCTGCTCTCCAGTTTCAAAGATTCCTATTTTCTCTAAGATAAACTCTAAAACCTTTGGCGTGGCATGACCAACTATTTTTAACACAGCTCAAGCTATCTAGACATTTCACTTAGCACAAATCATCCCTAGCACCTGCAGTGGAGATGTTTCCTGAAAAAGCCCTGCTCTCTATATATTTGGGTCTTTTAATTCATTACTTTTTCTAATGAGACTACCTCTTATCTTTTCACTCATTAATTAATTAATTAAGATAGACATCTACTGAATACCTACCCTGTGCTAGGCAATGAAGCGTGCCAGGGGATTAGATGGTGAACAAAGTAGACGTGGTCCCTGCATGCATGGAGTCTGCACTCTGCTGGTTGAACCTGCTGTCTCCTCCTGGACTCAGATCTCTTTCACTCATGCCCCGCTCCTGCTGTCTCCTCCCGGACTCAGATCTCTTTCACTCATGCCCCGCTCCTGCAATACGTCCTTATTGACCTAGTTGCTCCACCTTTGGAAGACTGAGCCCTTGTGACTACTTTTGTTGTAGGATTTATGTCACACACATTTTTTTTTTTTAAAGTCCATCTTCCCCACTAGACTCTGATCTGCTTAGAGTAAGGAGCAGGACTTTTCGACAGTGGACCTTCCTATAATGCCAAGGACAGCGTTAGATGTCAAATCGATTTGAAGGGGCTTGACCCAAAATTTAGGCATCATGCCAGAAAACTGGATTTCTAAATGTGACCATGAGAAAGTTACTGAGTGCAAGTATATTCTTTCTGTTTATGCTTGCCAATTTTTATAAGTTTTAAAGCTCATTTTTAAGGTATTCTTCTGTAAATACCTCATATGCTGCTGATTTTCTGTTTTAAAAGAATTACTACTATTCCTAAAGATGATAATGTTTTCAGCAATATATATTCAATTCTCATGTTTAAAACCCTGTAGCTAATGGCTTAAAACTTATCTTTGTTATTTGTCTTCTCTTTACAGAGAAATCACTCTTTCCTTGAAGATTTCTGTAAATAACAAGAGGGTTTTCTTTCTCCTACTGAGTTTCATGTAAATGTATTGTAGCCTGAGGAAGGAACATATGCCCCACGCTCCTATTCCTAATGCTATGGTTACCAGAAAACTATTTCTATGTAGGATTATTTTTCAGTGGTCTCAAGATCTATTGCTCCCAGTACAACTTAGTATAGAGTTTTTATATTGATTTATCCTGGCGAAATGAATTCCATGTGATAGTTTACAAAAGTCTCCTTCCTTCCTTTAATTGCAAGAATGACTACAACAACTCCTCCATCTGTATTTGACAGTAGCAATTCATATATTCTGCACTGAATTTTTTAGTGGGAACACTAACGATAACTGGATTGTAATTACATGAATAAGAGTTGCTCTAAGTTTATAACCTGAAAGAAATGAGAATAGTCCTAATGAAAATCAGGCTATTGGGCCAATAAGATTTTAATAAGAAAACAAAAGAATATTCTGAGACTGGAATTATATTTCTTTAAACTACATATGCTAGGGCGCCTGGGTGGCTCAGCTGGTTAAGCGACTGCCTTCGGCTCAGGTCATGATCCTGGGGTCCCGGGACTGAGTCCCACATCGGGCTCCCTGCTCAGCAGGGAGTCTGCTTCTCCCTCTGACCCTCTTCCCTCTCGTGCTCTCTATCTCTCATTCTCTCTCTCTCAAATAAGTAAATAAAATCTTTAAAAAAATAAAAAAATAAACTACATATGCTAACTCTCATCACCACGAACTCAGTAAAAGAAGAAAATAATGATGCTAATTTTCAAAGCCTAAAAAGTTTTCTATCAGAATGTTGATTTTAGTCTATGTCTATCTATGAGGGCTTATCAAACCATTACACTGTGCTTCGACTTAGGTAAGCAAAGTAATTTATAGACAAGGAAGGAAGTAACAAATTTTAAAATGCATACATCTCAGGGCGCCTGGGTAGCTTGGTCGGTTAAGCATCACACTCTTGATTTCAGCTCAGGTCATGATCTGAGGGTCATGAGATTGAGCCCCACAACAGGCTCCACACTGAGCTTGGATCCTGCTTAGGATTCTCTCTCTCCCTCTGCCCCTCCACCTCCCTCTCTAAAAATAAAAAATAAAATGCATACATCTCTAACTGTAACTCTAATATAATTTCATGTATAATTATTTAGAAAGAATCACATTTAATATACCTTTTCCAGCTCTGTCTTGCTTGAAATTTTTCCTGCATCATTACTGTATCTGAAATATAAATTGACTCAGTTTATAATTTTATTAAAATGTAATTTAGAAAATCCTAATTAAAATGTCAATATTCTTTACCCTGGAACTGGTATTGTTTTCTCTTTCCTCTCATTTGTTTCAACACCTTCTGCAAAACATTAAATAAAAGAAAAATAATTTAAAGGGTCATCTGTGTGTGTGTGTGTGTGTGTGTGTGTGTGTGTGTTAAGATGGAAGCATTACTAGAAACTGAAAACAAATTCACCTGTACTGACATAACATTCATCTTAATAAAGTATTTTATAAATAGAAATATCACCCCAACGTTTCCACTCCATCAGGGCAATTTATCAGAGCCAGAAATAACCACAGCCAAGTGTAATGCTCTTTCCAAATAGAATGTAGGAATTAGAGATTCCCACTATTGTGCAAGAATGTCAATTCAATATGAAAGAGTATCCTGGGGTCTACTGAGACAGAGAGAGAATTCCATCAGACTGGCTAGAGGCTAGAAAGGGCATTCTTCCTCTTTTTCCAGAGAATGTAGATTCAACCACTAATTGAAGGTAAAATATTTGGGTAATGTATACTATTGGGAAATACAGCAAGAAGAAAGTTAAATTCACATCATGCACATATGGACAGTTAATAAAATATAAGCCAGAATTCTTGAGTTTCTGCCAACTGCCCAAATGATTAGACCCCACTGCGGCTGTATCGACATGTGATACCATCAGTTTCCAGTCCATGGTTGATTGATCCACTGAAATGAGTCATCTGAGTGGCCTCGACCTCTGCCTCAGCGCTGATGATCTGCTGTGCCACGGCCTCCACGATGGGCATCACCATGGCAGCTGTGGAGGTGTTGCTAAGCCACATCGATAAAAAGGCAGTACTGCTCATGAACCCCAATGTCAGCCTGAAACGAGAGGGCCTTTTGGATGAGCTGCGCTCTCTGGCTTAACTAACTCTGAATTATTTAACTGTAAAGAATGCTGTTTGTAAGTTGGGAATTTTTTCAAAACACACTTAAGTTAGGGTTCCCCTCCGATGGTGAACCCTGAAGACGGTCATGGCCAGATAGGAATCAGAACGGCACATGGAAGAGTGGTGTTCTTATGAGATTTGTCTCCCTGGAACCATAAATGTCTTCTCTTAAAACAGAACAGCTTATAATATTATACCAATATTTGAATGCCCTTTACAGATGGCACTTACCTTGAAATACCAGTAAGATGAAATGCAATCAGTTTTTCAATTTAGGATCCCTTACTCTTTCTTTTGTCTTTTGGTCACATCTCTGTTTATTAATTAGTATGTGTGCCAAGGAGGCACAAGGGCAAGGAGAGAAATTAGTATTTATAAATCTACTTTTTCCTGTTGACTACTCTGGTTCAATATATGGTAGGTGGAGGAAATGGTTAAAATTACTAGCTAAAATGAGGTTTCAGAATTTTCTGTAGATTCTATTATTTATGCTTTCCTGAGTTTGACATTCCTGCCTGTGGTCAAGAACTGGATATATTACATTGTCCTCTCTTATAAATAAAGTAGTTCTTCTCCCTTAAAAATAACACACCTAAGACTGTAGGATTTTAAATCATATCTAGAAGCTATCAAAATCACACTTGGGGAAGAAATATGATCTCTTTTGAGTGGGAGATCCCACAAAATCATTCAGAAGCACATCTTTCCATATGGAGCCATTTATGAAATTCTATGACTCTCTTTAAAAGTAAATCTACAAGACAGATTCTACAGTTTCAAATTCAGATCGGGTGAATAATTTCTACATGTAAAACAAAATAAAACTCTTTAGATATCTTCAGGGTCCTGGGATCGAGCCCCGCATCAGGCTCCCTGCTCGGCGGGAAGCCCGCTTCTCCCTCTCCCGCTCCCCTTGCTTGTGTTCCCTCTCTCGCTGTGTCTCTCTGTCAAATAAGTAAAATCTAAAAAAAAAAAAAAAAAGGAAATCATTCTCAATAAAAAGTAAACTAGAAATACTTTTCATTTAAGGCATTGGCAAGGCATGAAATCTTCCTATAAAAAAAGATAGTGAGCAGATAAACCTTCTGTGTGGTGAAAATGCCTTAAATTGCAAAGCTACTCGGTGGTATAAGGACAGACTCTTGCTACACCGTGGGCTTCACTACCCCAGCCCTGTGGTCAGTGAGCCGATGGTCAAGGAAAAGATAACATATCTAAGGCACCCCACGAGGCATGAAGAGTGAAATTCCCTTAATACATACATGTTATAAACACTTTAAGTAACAAATATTTTAAAAATTTGTCTCATCTGAGTTATTTTTTGTGTTTAACAAACCTATTTGATTCATAAATCATAAACACAGATGTGGATATACTCTAGAATGAATCATGCAATGTAATTCAATAAAATTTTCTTATTTTCAAAGAAAAATCAGAAGGGAAGAACCACCTAAGACTTTAGAGCTTAATGCTATCATGTAAGTGTTTATGACACTGGAAATATTCTTTTTTTAGCTCACATCTATGTTCTTTTTTTTTTTAAGATTTTATTTATTTATTTGACAGAGAGAGACACAGTGAGAGAGTGAACACAAGCAGGGGGAGCGGGAGAGGGAGAAGCAGGCTTCCCGCCGAGCAGGGAGCCCCATGCGGGACTCAGTCCTGAGTCGACGGCAGACACATAACGACTGAGCCACCCAGGTGCCCCTCACAACTATGTCCTTAACAAGAGCTAGAATTAAAACTAAAATAGCCAATTAATTTAATGGAAAAAAACATTTATTTCAGTGGGGAAAATCAGTCAACTGAGTGATTTCACATTCCGTAGATGAAATTTCTTAATTGATTGTTTCACTTTGCAACAGTTCATTTAAAAAGAAAAATGTTGGGGCGCCTGGGTGGCTCAGTCATTAAGCGTCTGCCTTTGGGTCAGGTCATGTTCCCAGGGTCCTGGGATCAAGCCCTGCACTGAGCCCCACATCAGGCTACCTGCTCGGCAGGAAGCCTGCTTCTCCCTCTCCTGCTCCCCCTGCTTGTGTTCCCTCTCTCGCTGTGTCTCTGTCAAATGAATAAACAAAATCTTTTTTAAAAAAATAAATAAGTAAAAAGAAAAATGTTCACCTTGGAATGTTTCTACACGTTTGTATTTTGTCGGTAATGTCTTTGTCTTTGGTTCTTAACATCCTCCCTATGATCAAGGATGCTCTTGAACAAGTCTTGAATGTGTGATCAGCCAAATAAACAAGATAGGACTGAAATCTACTCTGAAGTCTATCAATCTTGTCTGTTGGGGTTCAAGGCTTCTCTCAGCTTTGGCTCCTACCGTGCATGAAAGGTAGGAGGGTTGTGTGCACTTATTCCAATCTCCCTGTAATTAGACCTGAAAGTTGTTGTTTCTTCCTACAACTCCAATATACTTTATATCCCTTTCATATTTGCAGAGGAAAGAAAGGCATGAATTATATTGTGATGAATGATTGCCTGGATGTGCATTACTTATTTAGTTATTTGCTCTGCACAAAAATGATCTGTTTGGAAAGTAAACCTGGAACAGGAAATGCAGTACTTACCATGCTGGGTTCACACCCACCGTCATCACCATTCTCAGAGCAATCCTTTTGTGCAAATTCCATTTTTCTATTGATGTTGCTAAACAGATGACTCCAATTAGCAGTAGATGAAAATCTTTGAAATAAGCAGATGCCACCTGAAATTTATGATTAAACCCATGATTACTTATGTTGGTGGGGGAAAAATAATATTGCCCAAGAAAGCATTATTTTGCTACTCTTAACTTTGACCTTCAAATTACTTAATCTTTCTATTAAGAAAAATGTAGATATATGACAATACAAATTTAACTATGTTCTATATGCTTACCCAGAAATAGGAGTGTTAAGGGAAAACACATACAAAAAAAGAGTGCCCATGATACTGGGTTTTGAAATAGCTGTGTAACATTAGGCAAGTGCCTTCAATGCCTTAATTTTTCTATCTCCAAACTGGGGTTAACTGGTTTATGCTGCTATGGAAGAATGGCAGTGACTGTGACTTGGGAAAGTCCAAGTTGAGTCTCCAACCCACCAGTGTCTTCATTACCATCCATTATGCCCAAACTGTAGTGTCACTCCTAAATATTTTGAATGGTTTTACCTTCAAAATTATTTGCTATAAAATAAATACCCTTGAATAGGAGCCAACATCTTAAGCCATTTTTAGCTAACACCATTCAGAGATTAGTAGAGTATACAGACACTTTGGGTCAACCTATTTACCAGACAATTCTCTTAAGAATGTTAGGCACATAATCTTTTTCTCAAACAACAACAACAAAAAGGTTCTGTGGCCTAATTAGTTTAGAAAACAGAGTTTTGAAATATTAGAATTTTCTTTCCTGTAAGTCTAACTCAAAACCTTTAAATATTAACATGCATTGCCACTCACAGAGTGGGATTCCACACCCAACATATTTTTCAAACTTATTTAACCACAGAAACCTTATTTTTAAATTTTTAGGTGTAGTGCTTCATGAGACTGATACTCAAGAGACCTGACTTTAGGACCTGCTTGGTTAAACTAAGTCAGGAGGCTGTGCTGAAAGGAGAGGATTATAAGAGGAAATATCCCTTCAAAAAAAACAATATCTAGTAGAAGGTATGGGAGAGTTGGAAAATTATGAAACCACAAAGGAATAGAAAAATCAGTTCTCATAATTTTGCTATTTTAAATTGTATGAGCATTTTTAATATAACTTACTAAGCTTGGCTCGGTTTAAAAAGAAAGTAAAAATTAGCCTTGGAATTAAAAGTGGACAAGTGAATTTCTTCATTATGTTTTATGTTGATTTATTATGTTTTTCACAGTTTGTATTTAACTCTTTACATTTTGTAGTAATTGCATAATAGAAAATAATTCTATCAATTTCCTTATTATCTCATTTATTAATTACTCTAACACTGAATAAGTGTTTCCCATGCGCCAAAACTGTTATATGAACAGGGAATGCAATGATAAATGTCTGACATGTTTTTCCCTCTTCACACCTCTTCAATCCTCAAACATCTAGATTTCTTTCTCTTTCTTTTTTTAAGATTTTATTTATTTATTTGTCAGAGAGAGAGAGAGGGATATATATAGAGAGAGAGCACGAGCAGGCGGAGCGGCAGGCAGAGGGAGAAGCAGGCTTCCCGCTGAGCAGAGAGCGAGATGTGGGGCTCAATCCCAGGACCCTGGGTTCAGGACCTGAGCCGAAGGCAGACGCTTAACGACTGATCCACCCAGGTGCCCTCAAATATCCAGATTTTCTAAATAGTTTCTACTATTTTTTCTGTATTACAGAGCCCTGTTTGTTTCCTTCATAGCATATTATATTATGTCAATAGTGTTTACCTGCTTGTTGCATTCTTCTGTAATATACTATACATTCTAAGAGGACCAGGAATCTGTTTTGCTAGTCATTGCATATTTGGCACCTAGTACAGTCTTGGTACAGAACAGGAGCTCAGTAAATAATATTGCATGAATGAGAGAGGGAGGAAGAGAGTCAATGAATAAGCTACGGTCTCTGAGCTCCTAAATCAGTAGAGTGATCACAATCATGAATTGTCTACACTCTGTCCCAAACTTTTTTTTTTTTAAGATTTTATTTATTTATTTGACAGAGAGAGACACAGCAAGAGAGGGAACACAAGCAGGGGGAGAGGGAGAGGGAGGAGCAGGCTTCCTGCCGAGCAGGGAGCCCGATGTGGGGTTCCATCCCAGGACCCTGGGATCATGACCTGAGCTGAAGGCAGATGTTTAATGACTGAGCCACCCAGGCACCCCTGTTCCCAAACTTCTATCTTCCTAACGCTCTCAGTCGTTACTACTCTCAGTACAAGTATTATTTCAAATTATTAATTTACTAGTGTTTACAGACTTACGAACCATTTTTTTTTCCTCCCTGGGTCTATCTCTGCCTCTCTGAATTTTTCTTCTTGGCCTACATTGAAAATTACTTTTGCTCTTCCCTTTTCTTAAATGTTGGTATCTACAGGGTTTTGTCTCCAATCTTCTTGTTTTGTACACCTGAAGATTGAATCTTACAGATTCAATTTCTAACTCTATGTGACTAAAATAATGTTCAGCACACAGTGGGCATTCAATACATATTTGTTGAATGAATGCTGAAGACACTAAAATCTTTGTATTCAAACAGATAAGTCTGGTGTATCCAGCTGGTCATTTCCATTTGAATTTCCCACAAACATCTAAAAATTCAGCATATCCCTTTTCGTGACAAATGAAACTTCCATCTACTTAGTTGCCCAAGTTAGAAGCCTAAGAGTCAGCTATGATTCCTTTTTCACTTCCAGTATGTGTGTGTTAGTCATGAAGTCCTATTATCTCTAGTTCCCCCATATATTTTATTTTATTTTATTTTAAAAGATTTTTTATTTATTTGTCAGAGACAGAGCACAAGCAGGGGGAGTGGCAGGCAGAGGGAGAAGCAGGCTCCCCTCTGAGCAAGGAGCCCGATGGGGGACTTGATCCCAGGACCCCGGGATCATGACCTGAGCCCAAGGCAGACACTAAACTGACTGAGCCACAAAGGTGTCCCATTCCCCTATATATTTTAAATTGTCCACTTTGCTCTATTCAAACATTACTATCTTAATTAAGCTCCTTACTGTTTGATCTGTCTCTTTCTAATCCGCCCCTTACCATTGTCACAGCGACTTTTCTGAAGTGTAAATCTAATCACATCATTGTGCTTCCTGTACTCTTCACTGGACTCCATGTCTTTTAAGACCAAATCCAATCTTCCCAACATGTCTTATAAGACTCTTCATCATTTAGCCCCATCTCACCTTTCCAGCTTAGACTTTCAGTGCTTTGCCAACTTCTCCCTACGTGTGAAATACTCCAGTCACAGAAATGCTTCAACACTTGCCGGTCATTTAACCTGGAATGACCCTCTTCTCTTACTTTGATTATCCATAATCTTCCTTCATGGATGAACTCAGATGTCAATTCTTCTAAGATGCCTTCCTTGACTATCCTCAACTTGGTTGGACGTTACTTCCTTTTGTGGGAGCAGATCTTCATCTATATAGTGATCATTTATTTACTTAATTATCCCCATTATTAGATTATATATATTTTGAAGGCAGAGATATATTTTACTGATCACTGTATTTATGGATTTAGCACAAGCCTGGCACATATTGGCACTCAGTAGATACTGAATTAGTAAGTCCCCAGACTCAAGGAGCTTACAGGTTATTATATGTGAAAAACAAGTTAACAAAGACTGCAATAAGGTATCATAGGTGTGTGAGAAATATTTTTTCAAGTTATAGTTGAAGCTCAAAGAGTAATGACCACCTTTTACTAGGGGAATTGGGAAAGTTTTCTTACAGGACCTGATACTCAAGTTGATTACTGAAAAATGAATAGACATTTGAGTTTTCCTCTTCTTTTATCTCTTTTACAGTTTTGCTCATGAAAATAAGATCCACGTACTCTATTCCAATAGTCTGAGAATTCAATGAAAAAATAAACACAGGATTACTTTAAAAATACAAAGGAATGCATAGAAGCAAGCCATTATTAGTAAGTGATTAAACATAGAAAGAAGTCCAGGACCATGAGATATTCTTGTTGTAATCTCTTTAGATTGTCAGCAGTTGGCAGACTTTGTAAAAGGTCAGATAATAAATGTTTTAGACTTTGTGAGTCTTACTGTTTCTATTGCAACTATTCAACTTGTCTTTGTAGCAAAAAAAGTAGCCAAAGACATTATGTAAATGAATGACCATGGCTTTGTGTGTTTCCAACAAAACTTTATTTTAAAAATTGGGTAGCAGGCTAGATTTGGCCCTCAGATTCATAGTTTGCCAATAGTCTTAATAGACTATGTAAACAAAAAATGGCCTGCAGCCCAACTGTCTAAATGAAATCAACTGTAAACTTAAGGAGGAATTTTCACATTCTTTGTTTCTCATTCTATTACCTATTCTTTGGGTTCCATCAGAGTTAGTGTATTTGTAGCTTATTAGTCACAAGCATATGTGTTTGTTTATAGCCTATGTACACAGGAGGTAACAAGAGAAAATGCTACTGGTTTGTAAATGACACTAATAATTATAACTATTTTTGAGGCAAAATAGGCATGTCAAATAAAATTCCTAATGAAATTTGAAATCTATTTTTAAGCTCAAGGTAGTCATATTTCTGTTTCAAAATGGGATTTCATCAAAAAACATGCACTTTTGCAATCAGAGCACCTGGGTTCTCTCTTAGCTATAAAATGTACCAGTTCACAATCTTTCTACAAGTCAATATACTTACCCATTAAAGTTAAATAATACTTCACATCAAGTTTGTGAATTAAATAAGATTTTTTAGAAAAGTCAGTTATAATGCATATGATTAGAATTATATCATATATATTTTGTTGTTTTAAAAAATATTTATTTATGCTTCGTTGCTAATTCCAATGCTTGATTCTCAGTTTTCACATTAATTGATCTATTAGCAGATTTGACACATTTGATCATTGCCTCATCCTTAAAACATTTCTAAACTTGGATTCCAGGATCCCAGACTCTCCTGGCCTTCCTTCTACCTCAATAACCTATCCTTCTTTCTTCTTTGCTAGTACTTTCTCTTCTCACCAATCTCTGAATGTTGTAGTTTTCCAGAGCTCAGTTCTTTGTCCTCTTT